AATGTACAACGTTTCGACAAGGTACCTGATGATGACAAAACCTTGCCGAAACATTGTACATTTACTGTTATGTTAAACTTATATTAAAGTTTTTCTTCATTACCCATTCAAGCCGTCTACAGCCATTATTATAAATGTTAGCTGTAGAAGACTAAATAATAAGTATATGTGTCAAAAAATAATATTTGTTCTTTTGTTAAATACTTAACTCACTTTGTTTTAAATAGAAATAATAAAAATAAAAAAAATTGTAAAGAAGTTTACTTATTATGGCTCTGCTATGGAAGTACAAATCAAGATGTTGGTTGGCTTTTTTGATCATGGATTACCTTTTTACCAAGCTTTGATGAGCAGTGTCGAAAAAAGTTCATTTCTTTTAATGTAAGAATCTGTGTTAGTTTCATTAAGTTAAGGGTAGAATGTATAAGATTAGCCTGTGTGAATATTTGTTCAGTGCAAAATAACTGTGTTGCTTGATGAAGCTTGGAATTGTGGGTATGATGTTCTTGAAGTTATTTATAATATTGCCAATTATCTTAATTGTTTCATGGTGAAAAATCATACTGTCAATAGTTTGATTTTTATCTGCCCACTTTTATCCATAAATAAAAATTTGGTGACACAGAGACAAGTAGAATCATTAATATATACGTTTTCTTGATGTTTTAGTTCCTTTGTTTTAGTAATTGTTTGAAATGCACACCTAAACATGATACTGGCCTCAACCAAAGGTACATTCACAGATATTCCCTGTTATTGACCGTTGAATGTATGGTAGCTTTTGCTGTAGCTATAAATTCGTAGTGTATATTTTACCTAATGTGCATTTTTTTGTCAGTCTGTAGAAAATATGATTTAATCAGAATTAGATATTTAGTCGAACCTGTCTAGAGCATAGTAGCAAAAAGGTATTTATAAACAATGCAATGTAACTGTAATAAAGGTTGAAGACAGCTAATTGGGTGACAGTGGACCGTATTCATGCTGAGAGTAAGTTGTCTTTTCAAACTGAATTTGTAAAATGGCTAAATTTGTCAAAAAATTTTGTTATACAAAAGGGTTTTATCTTTTAAAAAACATTCAGTTAAATCTTTATGACTGAACTTGTAGTACATCATCAGTATTGTAAGGAGGAGCTTTGATCAAAGCTTCTATGAAAAGAATTGTTTTCATAACCCATAGTGTTTACAAGGTTAACATTTGAGTTGCCAAAGTTACCATTAATAATATTTATTTATGAAATAAAAATTTTTATGTACGTTTTAATGCCTGTAGGATATTGAATAATTCAGTAAATTTAACTGTTTTCTGTTGCTGTTGTTTTTAAAAACTTTATTGATTCTTAATTTTTCTTGACCATAGTCAATGTTAGAATGTAATGATAATTTAATTATAGATTTTATAAGCTTTATTTATCCAAATGTTTTGTTTAAGATTTTAACTTCCCTTTCTCATTCTATCTACGAGTATGTAAATTAGTAATGGCACATTTTTTATCTTTTTTTTTTTTTTTTACATATGTAGAATTTTAGAATTAAAACTAAGAACAGTAAGACATTTCAGAACAGAAGTAATAGGAGAATGCTAATGAAGTTCAGTGTGCTACATTCTTGTGATAGTTCTAAAAATATTGTAAAAATAAACAAGCTGTAAGGCTGAATGGATAATTATTAGTATGAAACAGGCTTTGGACACAGTAACACGATATGATAAGTAAATACATTATAATATGAACCAGGAGTTCTGATTTTAAGTATATTGTACAAGAAACCTAGACATGGTCTCTAGGTGTGGGGAGGATAATTTGGAAAATGTCTTGGTTGAAGAAAACAGAGGACTGTTAAAAGTGGAGTTCAGTCAAACTAGATTAATGTAACAAGTGAGGTACCTCAGGCTTCAGTGTTTAGGACTTTTTTGGTTTATGTCACTGACATAGATGAAAGAATGGTCAATAAATTGCTTACATTTGTTGATGATATTAAGGTTTTGAATATTCTTGGCTGTGAGGATGTTACAAAAGGACTTTCATTATTTGATTAGTTGTAGAAGTGGAGGATTGGTAGTCCCATTAATTGATTACATGTAATTAATCAATTAGTATAGTGTTACTGAAACCATGATATGTACAAGCAAGCAAAAAAAAAAAATTGCAGCAGTTGTTGCCAACAAGTTGCCTTCCCTGTAGTCAACAACTCAAAATTAGTACCACTAGTAGATGGCCTTAGCAACTCTGCCATAACAAAACAGAGTGAGCAAGTTTAGTGTCAGTAGGAATCAAATCTAAGATCATTGAATTATAAGCCCTTTTCCAAAAGCCAAACAAACTTTAAGTGAAAAACAATAACAAAATATTGTGAGGAATTAAGTTAGCATTATTTCTTCCTTTAGATGTAGCATCTGTTGGCACATATCATTACATGTTATATATATCACACAATTACAAAGTTACTACATTAAACACACAACTTCTATTAATAATGTTTTACAATTGTACCACTCATTGTTTGGGCATTCATGTCATATAAGCATGAACTCAACAGTTGCGTGCTCTGTACAAGATGTTAGTTAGCTTGGGATATAATGTCACATGTGTACAATGATTAACATAACACTAACAGATACAGAGCTGTAGTACATAAATACTTCACTTCATTGACAGTTTAGAAAAAGAAGAGTTTTTTTAGTTAGTAATTCGTTGTTAGGCTCTCTTCTGCAACTGTTACCATATAGGTTTCAATCTACGGGTGCCCGAGCTTAATGTGGAAAATAAGTTTGTGAACGTACGTGTGTCTAGTATAGTGACTGTCTTCATTGCCTCTTAGCATGTGAATGTTACTTGTCTAGTGTTCATGAATTGTACTTTGTAAGTAGTCTTTATGTGTTTTAATAAACAATTCCAGTGAGTACTCGATGTGTCCTTATTGAACTAGTCAAGGCTATTTAAATGGCCTAGTTGCTAAGATACAGACATACATTGTCACATTAGTACCTAACATGAGGCCCTCATGAGTATTGACTGTGGTGTCTTTTATGTTAGAGTTGTCTACGAAGAGTCCTTTTAATACAGTGTCACAGTAAATCGTGTCTTGAGATTTATCCGTGAAGAATTGTCTTTCTTCAATTCTTTTTTCTCTTATGATGTTACAGCAACTCAACTGATCGAGAGGGAAGTGCAGTTGTTTCTTTGTTATCAGTTTAGCTCATTGTTCAACTTTCAGTCTGACATTTTTTTTTAGCAGTAGTCTAGTTAACTAAGTTTTATTTTATATGAAGTTGTGATTAACTCATTGTGCAGTTTATTCATTTACTAGAATATTCATCATGTACTTAAGTACTGCAAATTTTTTTGTCATTCAAAAAGATGTAACTTATTAATGTACTGTTTAGAGCAAACTCTGTGAGATTGACATGGCTACTCAAGAGATGACAGTGACCTCTGGGGTTAAATTGATTTTGTTTTCCCATAACATATTGAATAGCCTGTATTAAGTTTACAACTTATTTTGGTATTTATTTTGTTTCACAATGTTAGTATATAACTATGTTTTGTGTATTTTTTCTAATTACTAGTATGTCATTTTCTTATTGTGTCTTAGGACACTTGTTTCTTAAAGCTCGTAGTCAAATTATTTCAGTATTAAAAAGTATTGATAAGAGGCTTTTGATCTCAGAAAGTACACAAATAATGTGTGATTGTACAAATATTATTGATTCAATGTCAAATTCTTTTTGTTAAGTCAATCATCAGTTGACATTCTTGCAAGGTATTAGTAGTTGTAGGCCTTCAATGTATGATGTCAGTCAACAGCCACATTTTGTAGAAAATGTGTATTTTTCATTGGCTTGTGATGTAGTGTTATATTAATTATTGTAAGGATGTGACACTGACATATGCTGAGCTAAACATTTGAATGGTTAGAAAACAGAAGTTTTTCATTAGTATTTGCTTTTGCAGGTAGTCATGCAAGTTTCAATCTATTATTATCTGTATAACTTGTATAGGAATAACCTTAAAAGTGTTGTGGAAACAAAGGATTTTGGTGTTTTGGTTGATCATTTTCGTAAGCCATCCAAGCAGTGTGCTTTTGCTAAAAGTAGGGCAAAGAGGATTTTAAGTTGTATTTACAGAAGTATTGAACATAGTATAAAAAGGTTTATGTAGCCTTGTGCTTAATGAAAAACACATTAGCAGTATCTTGTTTGCTTAAATAGTTGAAATAATTGAAAATAGGAATAGTTGGAAACACTAATTTCAATTACTTTGAATTAGTTGATTATTTTTTTGTGACAATCAGTTTTGGTTAATAGGTTGTTGGAATAATACAAAACAGTAACAGTTGGAAACACTAACTTATAATTATTGATTTCTTTGTAATTTTGATAATTTTAGTTTGCATTACATTTATTAATATAATTGTTGCTTATAGGTATTCAACTGTTTTGATTAATTGATTAAATCACTAATTCTAATGGGTTGGGCAGATGGCTTTTAATTATAGTAAATGTAAGGTAATACATGTGGGTTATCATAATTTAAATTCTGATTTTTATAAAGTAATCTTAACAGTGTTATGGAAAGAAAGAATCCTGGTGTTTTGGTTGATCAGTCTCTTAAGCCATCTTGTTGCTAATGGTAGGGCAAAAGAGGATTTTAGGTTGTATTTACAGAAGTATTGAATGTAGTATAAAGAGGTTACAATTTCATTATTTATGTCACTATTTAGTCCTCATTAGGAGCATTATGTTCATTCTTGGGTTCCTTATCTTAGAAAGAACATTGAATTTTTG